CTTTTTGGGGAAAGGAAACACTCTGGATGGGGAAGGTATGTGGCTTAGTTATCTCAGACTGTACAGTTCACAATTACTTTTTAGGATGAGAGGTGAGCCTAAAGCTTATTGAAAGAACTGGTGACCTTCACCCTTCCATTGCAACACACAATTTTTGAAACTGTCTATAAATGCAGTTCACAGAGTTTAAAGCAAAGTAATCAGCATGGTTATGGCTATTTTTTTCCTGGAGTAATAAATAACAGAACAGAGTATATAAGACTCTATTTTCTAAGTGATTCCTTTTCCAATGCAGATTTAGCAGTATCAGTATTAATCACACAGATGATTGACTGCAGGAGGAAAGACTACCAGATATGAATTTCTAAGAGTATTACACTTAACTGCATTTTCAGAAGTATTTTGGTTATCCCTGCCAATGATGACAAAGAGTGATTTACTTGAGAAAAATACATTATGTAGTAAAACCAAGGACATTTGATCTTAGTTTTAGCATCTAATTACTATGCTGTGTCCAATGCTGCAACACTGGAAATGTTTCTCTTAAAGAAACTGTCATGAAAAGCAACAGGTAAATAACAGCACAGCTGTTTTCTTTCATAAACATATTTAAAAATTAGGTTTTGTAATGTTATTTTTGAAATTGCCACATTCACCAAGTACCTTAAGTTATTAATAGCTTGTCTGCCTCTGGCATGAAAAAACATCCTGTTGAAATAAAATGATTCTTTTATTCTTAAACTGCAAAACCATAAATGTTAGTCAGGAAAAAAGACAACATTAAAACCCCCCAAAAAATCAACAGAAAAAGAGTACATAAAGGGGAATAGATTAATTCTGACACAGTCCCTATGCAGTTATGTTAGAGAATATAGACAAAACATGGACCCAAAAATATATGACTATGACACAGAACATGCCTTTTCTTTTGTAGGGTTTTTGCATGGTTCTCTTCATGAATAGAATTCACAGGGCATGTATATATGAGTGTCTGGATTCCCTGTCGGTGACTTAGCACCTGAAAGCTAAGCTAGCTCACCTAGCTACTCTGCTAGCTCAGACATCATGGAGAGATTCAGTTGTCCTCATTCCAAATGACACTGACTCCAGAGAAGCAATGGAGTTTCTCTAACTTGGTGGGGTGATGTGTTCCAGAAAAAGGTGCTTTCAAAGAAAGCACAAGTGATGGGCAGAGGGACCTTCAGGCAACTGCTGGAAGTTAAAGTGCTGATTCTTTCATGTGTTACAGTGCTAAACAGTGGAAACAGAACACTATTTAAATTAATAAAAAATGCACCACAGACACCGTATCACTAAGAAAGCCAGTAACTTTACTGATTTGTCTGTAAAATACAAATTATACCTTATTTCCAGCAGGAGAATCTTTTGAAATTTTCCCATTTTTGTTCACTACAGACAGCTGAATTAAGTCCCTTGAGATACACAGATGTGGTTTAACTTAGTTATAACATCTTGTCATCTAGTGGCGACAAAGTCCAGCTTATGCCGCTGTGAGCCTCTACTTTAATATTTGTTGCAAATGCTTGTATGCTCCCATTTACAAGCTATTTTGTTATCACCATTGTTTTATGGAAGCAAATCCCCATGAAAGAGAAGAGAAAAAGAAAAAAAAAAGATAAAACAAACCATCTGAAGCAATCCAAGTGTAATGCCTGCAGTAACCC